GGCAGCAAGAGACCTTCAGATTGTAATCCCTGCTACGCTAGACCCACCGAATGGCCAACCACCATATGCATCCATCGTCCACCCGTTTGCTCATTCTTTCATTCATTCACAGCACGTGCCTGAGGACCTGGCCCCTGAACCTGGCCCCTGAGATTTTCACACCTCCGTTAAAACAGCTAGAGGAGGAAATCTCCAAATGTAGGCTGTCTCTCTGATCCTTGGGGAGCTCCATCCCTCGGCAAGTTTTGCCCAATGTGACGTTGAAATCTGTCTTCCTCTGCTGTCCACCCATGTAGTTTTGTTAGGACACCCTGAAGTAAGGCGGACCAAGCTTCTCCTCTTCCACAGACAGGCTTTCAGATCTCGGAGAGCAGCCCTTCTGCTCCACCCTTTCTGTGCCCTGGTCCGGGAGGAACTTCTCCCTGATGACCCTTCCCAGGCAGGTGTGACATCCTCTCCCCCTTATGGTGGGCCCCGTTGTAAAGCCACACTTTGAAGGAGCACCCAAAGGATGACCACTCACCGGGAGCCACACCGTCATTCAGTGGAACTGTCACGAGGGTGACCCTGAAGAACCCACACCTGCTGATTCAGGTCAGAGAGCTCCCTAAACAGAGATCCACTCACTGTGGCTTAAGTGGAAAAGAATAAACAGGAAACATTGTCATTAGGGATCGTCAGGGATGCTAGAAGAGATCATTTCACCTGGGCCCTTCAGGAAGGAAGGTCTGGGGTTCTCACACGCCTACCAGCAGCGCTCATGAGGCCCAGCAGCCCTGAGGTTCTTTCCAGTGCAGCAGCGGGCCCTGGCGAGGAGGGGGAGCGGCCTAACCAGCTAACCGTCAGTCCAGGGTGCACGTGTGCTGAGGCCCAACCACTCCTTTGACACCCACCCCATGCTCGGCTCGGTGCTGGGTCTGGCGCTACAGCAGTGAATGGCTCTGGTCCAGTGGGAGGTGGACAGCACTGGGTGGCGGGGTGATCCATGGACACGCACAGAGGATGCTGAGGTGTCCAGAAGAGCCAGGTATGAGGACAGGTGTCCCAGCCCCCCAGAGCCCATCCCAGCATCACCCGCTCTAGGGGATAATCCCAAGATAGGGTCTCCTTGGATGACTATCAATCATAGTGGGTTTCTCTCAGCACTGGTGGGGGCAGTGGTACGACAAGCGAGCCTCAAGGGAGGTTTTCAAGACCTCCTCAGGACACCAGCTGCTAAGGTCCTCATCCTGGATGGGAACTGGGAAGCCTGGCCTGACAAGCAGCCCAGGTCAGAAAACCTGAGCCACCGCCTGGGGAAAATCTCAAGGCAGGCCAGTAAGAGTATCACCCTAGAAGTCTCAAGGACAGGCATGGCATTCAACCTTAATCACCCACAGCCCCCTGGCGACTATGAGCATCTTTCCCACTGGCATGTGCTTTTGCCTGGGAGCACAGGAGGGCCCTGTGCCTGGGCAGCCTTGCCAGGGTCCCAGCAGCTCCCCAGTGAGACACAGCTAGCCCCGCACAGGACACGAAGCAGAGCCAGCCTGGCGTGGCCCCACTCCTCTCCTGAGCCCTGAGCACTGGAAAGAGGGAGGCTCCAGAGTGAGGACTTTCCAGCTGCCCACTGGAAAGGAAGGAAGCTCCTCTGTTGAAAGTCCTGTGGGGTTGCATTGCACCTCTGGCAGCTCCCAGGAGCAGTGGCAGGCTCTGACGGAACCTGAGTCACTTATCTGATGGCACAGGGAGGTTCCAGCTTCCACCGGTGGGGTATGACAAACATGTAATAGAAGAAAGCCAGTTCCTCCTGCGGGAAGGTCCCATAAGGCTCAGATGAGGAAATCTCACCTGAGCTCCTTGAGAAGTGAGCACCAAGCCAAGCCCCAGGGGGAAATAGAGTTGATGACAGATGTTGGCTTTCTCCAAAAGGGATGACTGAGCAACTTCCCCTGAGAGCAGTCCCCTTGCCATGTCACTGTGGGGCCAGGGCTGGACATGTCAGGCCCTTGATGAAGGGAGTCCATCTCCTGGCTCCAGGAAGCTTGCCCTCTACTAAGGGAGTCCCGCCATTGCAAAATTTGCTGCATGCTTCAGACAGGACCCAAATGGCATTCTTGGCCACCCAACCACTCTCTCTTGAGCCATCCCTGAATGGAGGGTTGGGCTGAAAGCCCCTACTTATACTCTTTCAAAGCCCCTCAGAGATGCACTCTCATCCCCATAGGGAGCCACAGACAGTGAGGATCGATTTCTTAACTGAGGGAGGCCGGGTCCTGGTGTCCTCTAAATTCAGTGGGCTCCAGAACTGACTAAATTCTCAAAGAGGTAGGCAATGATTTCTCCAAAAACTGAGCCCAGGTCCAAACTTGCCCCACTGTCTTCTCTTAGTAATGCAGGAGCTTTGTAGGTTCTCAATAAACCAGTAACAGTTCATGTTTGTATCCTGTTTGTTACAATCTCGCTCCTTCCACCTTCCACGGCCCATCAGGCACAGAAAATCTGAGGCACAAGTTAGGTTCCTTGGGCTCCCCTGGGCTCCTGAGAGGACCAAGGCCACTGTAGCTTAGGTCCTACCCAGAGCAACGTACAAGCAGGGCTGGAGGGCTGGCTGGGAATGGCTGCTGGGAAAGAGCTGGCACTGACTTGGTTCAACTGTGGGGCAATGTGACCTGCACTGTGAAACATGGAGAAGGGCATGGGGCCCTTTTCCTCCAGAAGATTTGTGAAAATGCCAAGGAAATCAATCCCCAGGCAGCCTGTGCAGTGCAGCCTTTAGCAGTGCGGGGTAAAGCAGCTGCAGCAAGCCTCTGCCCCTACCTCACTGCCCTCAGGCATCCCAAGCCCATGGTCCTGTGCTCACCCAGCCTGCAGGGAAAGGGCCTGGGCTGAGAGGGCAAAACACAGCATCTTGGTGTGACACTTTTAACACACTCACTTTTGCAACACCCAAAACCAAAACATTAAATCTCCAGCTTTTTAAATTTCATTACCAAGTAATATGTGTAGCTGGCATGCTCATCTGGTGGCTCGGCTTCCCTTCCCCCCACCACACCCCAGATCTCAGGCCACTGTGTGGCACTGGATTCCCCTGCAGTTTGTTGGTGATTCACACGCCTCCAACCCTCACTGGTTCGGGCCATCCTGCCTACTTCATTCAGACAGTTTTCCAGAATACACATCTGCTCTCACCACTGTCCTCTAAAACCTTCAATGACTCCCTGTTGCTGCGACAATAAAGTCCAAGCTCTTTGGCATGTGTCCTGACAAGGGACAGAGGCACACTCACAGGTGTCACAGCCGGGAGGATGCCAGCAGCCAGGGAGCACTTGCAAAAGTGCAGGCAGGCCCAGAGAAAACACAGGACATGGAGAAGCACCAGGGCTGCTGGAGTCCATCACCTCCCCCAGAGGAGAAGGGGCTGAGGATGGCAGCTACTGGTATAGGAGAGGGGTGCAGCTGGGGTGGGGGCTACTGTAACTCAGTCTCCCCCTCCCTCTGATCCTCCATGGCCTAAGCATGACCAGGAGACAGGACAAGAGATCTTGGAAGCTGCCCACAGGGTCAGTCTCACAGACACAGAGCAGGAGGATACTGGGTACCCCCCATCACTACCTGCCCTGCTCCAGGAAGTTCACCTTTCTCTGGCCAAGAAATTTCTCTAAAATGCAACCCCCTCCACACCACTCCCCTGAGGACACACTCTCTACCCCACCAGATCTGCAGTGAGACCCTGAGACCTGTTAGGAGCTGATGCTGCTCATCTCCTTGCTCACCTTACCTTCACAAATGCAAATGTCTGGCTCATCACAAACCCCTTAAAGAGCCATCTTCAGCCTCTGCCCCTTCTGGGTCCTGCCCAGCTGCCAGGGCATCCAGAGACCCTGAATCACCTTCACTACCTGCCCCTAGGTGTCAGCTGTGTTTTCTGTGACCAGCAGAGGGTGCAATAACACCAAGAGACAATGAATGACAGCAAGTGACAGAGTGGCCTCTGGAGCTCACACCTGGGCCAAGCTGCTGGAGCTAAGCTCTGTCAGTTCCTACAGGTAGGACATCTTTTATAACCTTGGAATCATGTTTTTCAGACTATTTTTTTACTACAGTCCACTCTTTGAAATGCATTTTACTTTGTTGTCCAGTTCACATGTACATGTCTAATTATTATAGACTTTTGACATTAACTTGCCAAAAACTAATTGCTCAAGGTATTTCATAGTGAAGTAAATTCAAAACATAAATAGTTTAACAAAATTAAATTTTTTTATTAAGTGAACTTTTGGTCTTTGTACCTTCAGCAAATTAGATTTGAAATAGCTTGGCCCTGGCTGGTGTGGCTCAGGAGGTTGGAGCATTGTCCCATAGCCAGGGTTGTGGGTTTGATGCCTACTCAGGGCATATTCCTAGGTTGCAGGTTCAATCCTCAGTCCAGGTGCACACGATCCTCTGTCTAGGTGCACACAGGAGGCAACCAATTGATGCTGCACTCTGACATTGATTTTTCTCTCCTTCCTGTCTCCCCTCTTCTCTCTTTAAAAGCAATGAAAAATGTCCTCAAGTAAGGATAAAATTTTTTAACTAGTTTGTTTTTATATGGCTGACACATTTATTTTGTAACATTCAGATTTTTAGTTATTGAGTACATGACGGTGTTTAGTAGTGAATACATGAAATGTGTATCAGCACATATTTTTTACCTTATGGCTAATTTTTTTGGATCTTTCAATACGACTCATTTTGAAATGCTCTGTCAAATGCAGATAACAAAAATTATGAAAATCTGACTGTGTAACGTAATAAAGGCCTACAGTCCCCTTAAAATGTAACATTTAATTTTCATGTATAATTTATTTTCTGAGCAGCAGAATGCATAACATTTTAATTAATACTAGAAAGTTATCAGATTCACAAGTCATATATACAATTGTGGGGGAAAATATTTTGTCATCAACTCTGTAACACATTAAAAGATAAACTGTGGCATATAAAAATTTTTAAGAGTTTATTTGAGCAGAGCGCCATTCGAATTGGCCAGCCTCACATCCAGCACACAGAAAGGAGCTCCAGGGGGCTGGACAAAAGGAAAGACTATTATCGGCAGGAGGCAGTGGGGACGAGAAAGTTACACTGGGCAGAAAAGCAGGTAGGTTATGGCCAGGTCACTTCCTTTGGGGGATGGAAGGGACCTATCAGGCAGGTCACCTGCCTAGAGTTGACCAGGGGATTCCTGATGAGCAAGTTTGAGACCATTTGGTGATGGTGGCGGTGGGAGGGTGGTTTAGCCTAATCAATTACATTTGGGCCTGTCGTCTTGTGTTTTTTTAAAACAAAGATAACAAAAATTATCTCATATGTAGATTCTTGCTCCAAATAATTCTCATCCTTAGTTTAAGCATCTTGTTGGCATAGAAAAGTCATCACAGGACACAAGAGTAGGAAGCAAACTGCAGGGGTGCCTTGTGAGATGAATGCAACTCCTTAGGTGTCTGCAGATGCAGAACAAGAGACACTGTATTTTGTGACTCTGGATGCAACAGTGTCAGATGCAGCTGTTCAGGAGCTATTCACAAAGTGACTCTATCCATTCTTAAGGCAAAATGCCTCACACAGTGGTGGTCACTTCCTTAACCAGACTGTGTGAAAGCTACACTGTTTGAGACCAATGGAAAAAAAGAAAAGTTTTACTGTGAAGTGATAGATACTGATGGATAATTAAGCTAAGGTTTTTATTGCAGGGATAAATATATGCAAGTACCTGTACTTAGTCAATACCAAGTTGTAATCCCAGAACATAAATTCTATAGTGAAAACTACTGGGGGTTGGCAGGGGGAGGATATTCAGAGAGTAAAAGAGCTTCCTACTCCCTGATCTCACTGGGGCTCATTTTATCATACTCGACTGGCTCAAATGAAAACTCAGTGTGTTCCTTTTGCCCACGGTTGTTTGTCATTCTAACAGGTTCATCCGAATTGTAGGAGGTACAGATGAACCACCCCGAGTAGGCAGCCGACTCTAGCGTATTCCAGGAACACACCTCTGCCCTATAGAATGCGAAGGGCTTGGAGTCTTCTTCCTGCCAGGTAGTCAATTCATCAAGACTCTGCTCCTGTGAGGTAAAAGGGATTGATTAGCCAGCACAGCCTCTGAATGGGAGAAAATGCAGCCTGTGGGCTCTTGGAGCCCAGAGGCAAGTAGGAGGGCAAGAAGCTCTTCTAAAAGGTAGAAGAGCTTCTTTCCTGGAGGTGGTGCACCTGCTGAACCAGCCAAGATGAGATTTGTGGAGAATGAGAGGCATGGCAGGTCTTGGCCCTCCTCTTTGAGGTGGCTGAGGGGACAGGAAATTGGTTGGGAGTGCTCACTTTCAGCTGGAGGGCCGGCTGGCTTCTTTCACTGTCCATCTCACAGCAGAGACAGCGCTTTCCTTTGGAGACCGCCAAGAAAATTGGATTTCCCTCATGCTCATCAGCCAAGCTAAAGCGAGCAGGTAAGGAAAAGAAGATCTCTGGGAAAAAGACAGTTAGTCACAAAAGAGGGATTTGTCCTCAGAGCAGGAAATAGGCCTTCTGTCTGCTGGGGCTTCAGGCTCCTTCACTCTGGCCCAAGCCTGCTCTTCCCCCATAGTCCAAAAAGACTCCCCTCACACCTGGTCACTGGCACAGACTGCCATTCCATTCCTAGGGGTCCCTGGGCCTCCTCAGCCCACAGCCCACCCCCTGCTGGAGCTGTAGGTGTCCTACAACCTGAGCTGAACCCTGGTGGGAAGACCTTCCCATGGATGCAGAAGACAGAAGACAGCCGAGAGAGAGTCACCTGGGCATCTGTGGTATTTATCTGGAACAGCTTTAAGAGTCTCAGAGTGCAGCACCACTACCTTGTTGTCCTGGTCACGAATGGTGAATTTCTCTGGGACTTGGGTCACCATTTTTGGACCTAGATCAATATAACCAAATGTCAATACTTCACATTGAAGTTGGAAAACTCAATCCTTCCTAGCCCACAGGGAGAGTCCCAACCCACTCCTCCTTCTGCCTGTGGACTTGAACATCTGCCCACTAAACACCTCTTCCACCCCAGGCTTCCTGCCATGCTCCAGACCAGCAATTCAGCACATATGTGAACACACGGGTTTCCAATTTTGACACATGGGTTCAAATCCAAGCTCTGTGACTTACTGCTTTAGGACATAGGATAAGTCACTAAATCTTCCCAACCCTCAAAGCCCTCCTGGGTAAAACAGGGTAATAACACCTACCTTGCAGGGACATTGGGAGGATTAAAATACTTACTCAGACGAATGGCCCTTAGCCTCCCTGGTGTTCATAGCCAGGTGTCTGAGTATGGAAGGAACTCCATACATGGTAATAATTATCCTTCTTAACTCTTCCTCCTGCACCCTCCCCCAGAGACAGCATGCTGCTAGCAATTCGTGGGGTGAAACAGATCCTCGCACTGGCTGGGCCAATGGACCCACAGTGGGGTGGGGGTGAGAGGTGGAGGAAGGAAGCACTCAAGATGCCAGCATGGTGAAGACCAGCTGGTACTCCAGGCTCATCAGAAAGCCACAGGGCTTGTGCCTGGCCCTGGAGGAACCTCTCTGAATTCACAGGAACAGCCACCATGGAGGCCAGGGGATTTCCCAGGGCAGGGCTCCTGGGAGAACATTCAGGCCATTCCTGCCCACAGGTGGGGCCTTGCACAGAAACCCTCCCTACTGGGCCTCTGAATGGGCAGGAGGCCTACCCCTCACTGAGGGGCTTGGACACCAGATTGATGGGTGCAGGAGCCCACAAATGGGCCATGTCAGACTTGGATGGTGTTTGTAAAATATGAAGTAACCACTGCATCAAGTGATGCTATCATGTAATTACCTGTGATGGGTAATTACAACATAAAGAGGAAATCTAAGGCCTCATTCCTCTCCCATGCAACAAGCACACATCTCTGGCTGGTATTCTCCTGCCCTGGGTGTGGGGGACTCTTCCAGTAACACTGGCTCTTTGTGGCCTCCTCCCCGAAGCTTTCCTCAGCCCCTCTATGTGGGAGGCTTCCTGTCTGGGCTGCCACAGTATTCTGCATGCACACCTGCAGCACAGGTGTTGGGGCCCATGTCTCATCTCCCTATGGCATCAGAAGGTCCGGAGTACAGGTTCCCTGTCTGAATTGGCAAGATCCTTCTTGGTCCCAGCCCAGTGCCCCAAGCATCATGGACACTCAGCATTCATGGCAGGGATAAGTGGCCCAGATGAAATTCTACGAATACCTGCACTGAAGTGGGGTCAGTGAGATCTGTGGGTCACAGCCCTGGGCAGCACTAGAATCTCCCCAGAGACTTCTCTGGGCCACCCCAGACATTCTGAGTGCATGGGACTGATGCAGATTGTTTCAGAATCATGAAACTAGATTAACTCTAAACCTTCCAGCTTCTCAAACATTAAGCACACATACAACTCTGCCTTTCTGTCAGCCCCACTGCTGGCATGTTGTTGCTCTGAGGGCCACCCTCTGACTGGCATGGCCTGAGGCCATGGTTTTCAGGCTTGGCTGCACATTGTACCACCTCATGGATGATGTTTTAAAACTGTGGATGCCTGGGCCTCATATCCCCAAGCTTCTGATTCAACTGGTCCAGGATTGAACCAGGGTGAGACATAGACATGCTATGCAAGTTGCATTTCTAGCACTATCATTGTGCTTTTCAACTCTTAAATATTTCTTAAATCATATACTATGTCCATGGATTGGAAGTATTAATATCATTGAAATGTCCATACTACCCAAAGCAATCCATATAGTCAATGCAATTCCTATTAAAGTAACAATGGCATATTTCACAGATCTAAAACAAATATTCCAAAAATTTATATGGAACCAAAAAAGACCCTGAGTAGCCTCAGCAATTTTGTTAAAGAAGAACAAAGTTGGAGAGATCACAAAACTGGACTTCAAGCTGTACTACAAAGCCGTTGTAATCAAAACGGGCTGCTACTGGCACAAGACAGACATAGGTATCAATGTAATGGAACAGAGAGCCCAGAAATCAATGACACCTCTATGGTCAATAAATATTTGACAAAAGAGGCAAGTGCACACAATGGAGTAAAAACAGTCTCTTCAATAAATGGTATTGGGAACAATGGACTGCCATGTGCAAAAAAATGAAAATAGGTCACCAAATTACACCATACACAAGAATAAACTCAAAATGAATAAAAGACTTAAATGTAAGGTTCAAAACCATAAAAATCCTAGAAGAAAACACAGGCAGTAAGATTTTAGACACAGCAATATGTTTGCCCATGTATCCCCTAGGGCAAGGGAAATCAGGGAAAAAATAAATGAATGGGACTGTATCAAACTATGTATAAAAAGCTTCTGCACAGCAAAAGAAACCATCAAGAAAAAGAAAAAAAGAACTCATTGTATGGGAGAGCATATTTGCCAATGATACTTCTGGTAAGATGTTAATTTCCAAAATGAAGAACTTATACAACTCAACACCAAGAAGACAAAAAATCCCATTTGGAAATGGGCAAAGGACCTGAATAGACACTTCTCCAAAGAGAACATACAAATGGCAAATACACATATGAAAAAATGCTCAACATCACTAATTTTCAGAGAAATGCAAATTAAAACCACAATGAGATATCACCTCACTCCTGTCAGAATGGCTACCATCAATAAATCAACACACAACAAGTGCTGGCGAGGATGTGGAGCAAAGGGAAAGCTAGTGCACTGTTGGTGGGATTGCAGATTGGTGCAGCCACTGTGGAAAACAGTATGGAATTTCGTCAAAAAACTCAAAATGGACCTGCCAGTTGACCTAGCGACCCTACTTCTGGGAATACATCCTAAGAATCCTGAAACACCAGCCAGGAAAAGTATATGCCTTACTGTGTTCATAGCAGCCAAGATCTGGAAGCAGCCCAGGTGCCATCAGTAGATGAAGGGATAAAAAAGCAGTGCACATTTACACAGTGGAATACTACATGGCTATAAAAGAGAAGGAAATCTTACCCTTTGGAGCAGCATGGATGATCCCAGAGAATACTATGCTAAGTGAAATAAGCCAGTCAGAGAGAGACAAATACCATATGATCTTACTCATATGTGGAATCTAGTGAACAAACTGAACTGATGAACAAAGTGAAACCAGAAGCATGAACACATGGAACAGATGGACCGATCTCAGAGGGATGGGGTGCGGAGGTGACTGGAAGAGATTAGCCACAGAGCACACATGCATGTGTGCACAGCCCATGGACACACAGGACAATGCGGTGATGATAGGGGTAAGGGCTGGGGGGCAAAGAGGGCAAAATTGGGAGACATCTATAACAATGTTAACAATAACATTTGTTACATCTGTGAGGGGGATCCCCCAAAATGGAATTTGTTTATAAAAATGTGTATTTTTTCTTACATGTTTAAACTTCAGTCACCTTCAAAGTAGTCTCCACTTGATGCAATACACCTATTGAGATGTTTTTCCACTGCTCAAAACAATTTTTGAACTCATGAATTTTGATGCCTTTTAGTGCTTCCGCCATTTTTTATTTCACCTCTTCCACATTGGCAAAACGTTTCCCTTTGGGGACTTTTTTATCCATAGAAACAAAAAAGTCACTTGAGGTGAGATCAGGTGAGTAGAGAGGGTGGGGCCGTGGGGGGTCATGCCATTCTTGCTCAAAAACTGCTGAACACTCAGTACAGTGTGGACAGGTGCGCTAGTAAATCACCCATCATTAAATGGGCAAACATGTTGAAGGAGATTTCAAAAAAATTACCTGAACCCCAACGCAGCCTCTCACAACAACTCCAGCTGGTACACTGATGCAGGTGAGTTCCTAGAATACTCATCTAGTGGAGGAAGACTGTCCTACAAGGGGACCGCCCTCCAGAAGATAACTCCAGGGGTTTGGGGGTCCCCTCTCAAACTTCCTAAATCTGTTCTTTTACTTCTGTTTCCCTCCCAACACAGCCTGACTTGGGACCCACCATCTCCCATTCAAGCTTGTTCATGTCCTCTCTCACTTTACTCCTGACCCCCGTTTGAAGAAATCCATTCTTCAAACGTCCTGCTTGAGGCCTCAGTAGACCTCTCGATGACGTTATAGGGCTGGTAGTCTTTCCTGTAGGGCAGTGGTCCTCACCTTCCCGTGTATCACAACAACCCTGGTGTCTGCACAAACAGACCCCTGAGCCCCACACCCAGAGTTTCTAACACAAGAGTCTATGGTGGAGCCAGAGAATTTTCATTCCCAACAAATTCCCAGGAGGTGTTGCTGCTTCTGGTCCAAGGACCTCACACTGAGAGCCTGTCCCTGGGTGTTGGGGGGCTACATCCCTAAGGAGAATTCAGAATAGGCCCAACAGACAGACCTGCATGGTGGTCCCACTGATGGGGCCCAGTGCAGAGCATGAGCAGGCACTTCCTGCCCACGGCCAAACCAGAACCAACTGAAACACCTTAGGCAGCAGCAGTGGAGGCTCCCGGGGATGCAGGGGCGGTGCCGGCACTGTGTGTCCCTCCTCTCATTTGGGGCTCACTGCCCTCTTCCCCTGGAGGAAATCCAATGTTCACACATGGCCTGAGGTGGCGCTGGGACTCAGACCAAGGGCTCCTGACTGTGCCCTGGGCAGGGGGTGGTAATGGCAGCCTTAAACTTGACTCAGGCCAACAGACGTTGTAGTTCCTTAGATCTCACCATGCCACTTACTACCTGTGCACCTGGGGCTGGTGGCCTCCCTCTGGTTCTCAGTTTCTGCACCTGAAAGTGGTGACGTTAACATTTCCTCCTGGGGTTATTGTGAGGGTCACCTGTGCCTTGTGGGGAGGGTCCTAGCTCAGTGTGCCCAGGGGACTCAGTGATGTGGGTCCCCCACACACCCCTCCAGCCAAGTTCCTGGTTTTCACAGGCACTGTGAGGAGGTCATGGCTGCCATCAATGGTCAGCAGAAGAACCTGGGAAGGTTCCCAGGCTCAAACCCATTCTTTTCCTGAGCCACTCGGCAGGTATGCATGAACCTCCCTCTGCAGGCCCATCTTTCTTGTTGACCCCTCTGAGATTTCAAAGGAGATGCCTAAGCCCCAGGCCAGCACCCTTAGGAGCCCCTCATCTCTGGTTCTCCCACTCCCCTGAGAGAGCCCAGTGGCACCATCCCCACCCCAGCCTCACCAGGCAGCCCAGGGGCCATACCTGCATGTGCAGAGTTCAGAGAGGCGAGACTCGGGCCTGGCTCCAGGGGACCGCTGGCTGGATCTGGAGTCAGAGACAGTGAGGTTGGCGTACACTTTGGGGATTTTCCAGGGAATCAAGAGCGTCGAGGGGCCATTTAATGCCTTACTTATTTTGTGTGTGTTTTCAGAAACAGGAAGAACAGAGACAGTAATGACATTAAAAATGTCTCTGCTGGTCAGAGATAGTGGGAATGGGGATGGAATGGAGCTGAGTGCAGAACTTCCTACAAACACCCACATTAACTCAGGGGCAGAGCAAACATCATCGCCCACACCTGGGAGAGTGATGGGGGTCCCGCCTGGTAAGACATTAAGTCTGAGAAATGCTGGAATGAAATCCGATACCAGACTTTTGTGCTAAGAGCACACAGAGCTCCTGGCAAAAGACCGCACCTGTGCTCTGCGTGAAGGTCCCACCAATCTGGGCTCTGGGACACTGCAGCACGAGTTCCCGGGACAGGGTGAGCATGGCAGCCACCTCGTGGCCCCATGCTAGGAGCAGGGCTGGGCCCAAGCCTCTGCCATCACTGTTACTGGAACCACAGTGGTCAGTCCAGTGTCCTGAGTTTTAGTTTCAAATGATGATGGTCATGTGCGAGTTGAAAGCTCAGGATGTGGCTTCTGGCAGGTTACAGGCCTCTCCCTTCACACCTATCCATTGGAAAGTCATGGAGGCCAAAATTTTGCTTTTAACATCTCCCTGGAGCTGACGCCCAAGTACTTTCCTGTGGGGAGCACTCAGGAGCACAATGTCACTGCCCAGCCCAGACTCAGAGACACCGTCCCCCACTGTGGACCCCTCCTCTGCTGGGCAGTCAGGGGACAGACATGTGTTTGGAGGATTCCAAACCATCCTGTTCATGAGTCAGGACTTCAAACCTGAGTCTCTCTTGAACATGACCCATTTATGTACCACCTGCGGCCCTGGCCTCCTGCAACTAAGCTTCATTTGCTCTCAAGAATTTCTGTCTTCTAGTTCACCTACCCAGGTAATTCTCAAAGCTCAGTGTCCATACCAGGTGCCCGGGGAGGCCAGGGACTGTGCACGGCTCCTCACAGGGTCCTGCTTCAGGAGTTTCCAGGTGCATTTTCACAAGAACCTCACCTTCTGGGCTGCACTGGGGTTCAGCTCTCTCCAGGTCTCCAGAGTCCATCTTCACTCCTGCGTTCTCCTCCAGGAAGGACATTTTCAGCGTGATGAAATGACTCAACGGGAGCCAGGGATGAAGGGCAGGGCCTGAGGGGACAGGAGGGACACTGGCTACCCCACCTCTGACCCCAGGAGACCTGGCCGGCCTCCCTCTCTGCTCAGAAATGTTTGCCGTGTCCAGCAAGCCCCCTCGGGGCCCACCGTGCTCTTCCCTGCAGCCTCCTCCTTTGAGTTTTGCCCTGCCAAAGTGACATTTCTCAACCAGTGGGTCACAGTATCATTGCCATGGATCTAGTTCTATCTGTATTGCTCTAATCCTGGGGATGGAAAACTATAGCCCACAGGCCAAAACCGTCCCATCCTTGTTTTTTAAGTAAAGTTTTATTGGAATGTGGCCATGCCCTTGTTTGCATGTCATCTGTGGCTGCTCTCTGGCTACACAGCAGAGATGAGTGTTGAAGAAGTGTCACCTGGCCAGCAAAGCTTATAATGCTGCCTGTCCTGGCCTCTACAGAAAGAGCTTCCATGCCCCTGTGGCAGCCTAATCTTTGCAGCCTCTGGTCCTGGAAAACAGAGCCTCCCAAAGGTCCCAAGACACTCAACTCCTGGTGTGTTAAGGTGGGGCTGACACAGGAGCCCCCACCCCACCCACTGTTGTGTGCCACTCCTCACCCAGTTCACATGGAACTTCCCCCGGGGTCAGTTCAGGACCACCCAGGGAGGGCGGGCAAGCCTTCTTGCTCCCATTCTACAGATGAAAACGGGAAAGTGAGTGGCTCCTCAAGGGTCACACCACTTTTAAGGTTGCAGAGGGCAGTTTGTGTAGACAACCCATCTTTGAAGAATGGCTTAGGAGTGTGACAAAGGGAGCTCAATGGTCTTGCAAAAGGTAAGGGGGGAGAAAGGGCTCCAGGACCAGGCAGCAAGGACACTAAGGAGGAGGAGGGGGTGGTCTCCTGCAGCCCTGGGGGCGGGAGACCTTATTTAAGAGATGGACGGATATCCTCTATTTGGTTTTACATTGTTTGGTTTTTGTCTGCATCCCCTGAACTCAAAGCACAGCTGCCCTTGCAGTACTGGGGGTAAATGAAGGGACTCAGGGAACTGGTGGCAGTGGAGAAGGCAGAAAACTTGGCAGCCTCAGCACAGAACAAGAGGTGGCTGGCAGAAATGTCAGTCCCCACATATGTGAGGATACTGGTGCTGCTGCTGGAGCAGAGTGACACCCATGGGCACTAGTACATGCCAGTGTCCTCGTGAGCTCCTTACAGATTGGGCCACCTAGACCAACATAAATGCAAGAGGGGCCCTCAGGGCTCCCTAACAAAGCAGTGCACTTGAGCATTTGAGATCCCCTCTTCCCACCTAAGAACACTCAAAATATGGCACCCCAGTGTCTCTTCCTGAAGACCAGTACTTTCCAGACCCTGGAGTCAGACTGCTCAGCCTTCAGAAAAGGTGCTTGCATCTTCCTAAGGTTTCCGAAGCTCAGTGTGTGCCTGGCCCTGCAGTGACACCCCGCCTATTGGCAAAGCCATCCTAGGAGACTGCGGGCTGCTGCTGGGCTGAGAGCAAGGTGGCGGAGGGGTGATATTTCGGCATTCGGGGAGTCCATAGAGTGGCTTCTAGTAGGAAAACAGCAGGGTAGGAGCAATGCCTCCCCATTTCCCGATTACATCTGTTGGCCCCTTGAGCAGGGGGTGAGGGCCACCTACCTGGACCAGGGATCCCTGAGGTCTGCGGCTCTGTCTTATGCTCCTGCAGCTCTGGTCTTCTGTCTTCAGGATCTCTGATCTGGAGAAGCCGGATCTCACTCATATGATGAACAATCAGTTTGGGGTGTATATGTGAACGTCACAGCAGCATTCCTTTAGCCAATAATAATAGCTTCTCAGGCCATCTGTCATCACTCCTCACCTGCCATTTTTCACTGGGTGACCATAAACAAATGCCTACAGGGTAGTGTCATTCTGCCAAGGCTGTGCCATATCAGTTCAACACATTTTAATGTGTTCGAGATAGACAGTGTGGCTGCCTATCTGCACCAACCACAAAGGTGTGGGAGGAGACCTGAGGAAAAAAGTGAGGTGCCAGGTCCAGGTCAGGCAGGTAGTCTGAAGCTGCAAGGAGGCCCCTGTCCCCATGTGGGTTTTCTGCCCCAGGCCCAGATGCAATGTCCACATCCCAGGGAAAAAGCCCTTATCATCTGCTCTCCAGGATGTCACTGAACCTCCTGCCACCTCTTCTTCAACAGGGACATGCAAAGCTCCCTTGGGTGAGCAAGGTGGCATTTCCTTGCATTTCACATTGCCTTTGTTCCTATCCTTTCACAGGTATGGTTGTGCCTCACAATGCCAGAAACTGCCAGTCAAATGAAAACCCATACAACCCACTAAGATCACAGCTTCTGGGCACCTCCGGCACCACCAAACACGAGAACAAAGCAGCAACCACAATCATGTCTGTGCATGCTGTCACCTGCCAGGCCTGGGCTGACCCCATGGCTTTCAGTCTTTATCTCCTTGAGCCTCTGATGGTCCTGCTGGGTGGCACCGTCATCCCTGCTTCCAGACAAAAGACAGAGCAGTTTCAGAGCTTAAGCAATTGACCCCTGGTCACACACCTACTTACGGGCAGCACAGGACTAAAGCACAGCCCTTTCTGAGCATGTGGAAGCTCCACCCCTTTCACGGTCTCTCCTAGTTATTTTCCATGCACATGTCCACATAACATACAGACACAGGAATGTGTTCAACAGCTTATTTTGTAACACATCTTTCCTACCAGCAATGCATCTTGCTTTTTCTATTCAATATGATATCCTTGGTCATTTCATTTGATCAATGCTTTTCTGTTATTCCCTTTATAGCTGGAACTAAAATTTCTATTTTGTCTGTCAAATTCCTAATAAGGAAAGGTTTTTGGAAAATTTCTTCATAAACCTTGGAATGGAGATGAGATGGTGAAGGAAAAGGTGACATAAGGGCAAAGTCAAAACAGTCACTAGACTGCCCTGCAGTCAGGCACCTCCGTTCTCAGGGCTCAGGAGGAAAGATGGGGGTGGGAGGTGCCCTGTAGGTGTACGTAGGAAACAGACTTGTAGAGATCCTGTCCAGGGCTGCAGCCAGGCTGGGAACAGAGAGAGAAGTCATCTCTGCGAGGGGGCATGATGTGGTGGGTGATGCACTCACTGCAATCTCGCCAATATTGCCCCCCCACACACACGACCTTGATAAATTTAATAATCCCCACCAGTGTTGATGCACCACAGGATACTATCTGTTTACTCATTTGTGTTTTCATTTGTGGGAGGATGAGGAATAGGACAAGCGTCAGCTCACTAGTGCGTCACGTATGGGTAAATATTGTTAAACTGATTCCCATTGTGAATATTTGGTTTTCATTTGTACACTATTATTTACAACATCATGCTAAATATGCTTGGACTTAAACCTTTGCACATATCATTATGTTCCTGGGATAAATCCCCAGAAGTGTAATTGCTGGGTCAAAGCATACACATATTCTACTTTATATACTTTTTAAATTCTGCATCTTCCAGTGATTTTTAAGGAATCTGATTTATTAGGTATTTTCTCACTTATCTAACCACTCCTTACAGAGCAATCACCATTCAGACTGTTTGACAGGTTTGAATCTCCCACATGTGTGTATTTGTGCATTTATGTTTTCAGTGTGCACATGGGGGTGTATATGTGCTTTATGTGTATGTACTTTATATGATGTATGTTTTCTTGGAGTGTGTATCTTTTATGTGTATGTTTGTGTGCTGTATTTATTACTATATCTATGGTTGTGTGCTGTGTGTTTTGTGGCTGTATATGGTTTGTGTACATGTTATGTGTGTATTGCATATATTGTGGGTATTTTTGTATAGCTTTGTGTGTGTGTGTGTTGTGTGTGTATGTTTTATTGCAATGTGTGCATTTTTATATGTATGTTTTGGGGGCCAGCCTTCCCTCCCTTGGTGTCTGCACAGCACCAGACAGGGCTCAGGGTGACAGTGGGTTGATTCGGTCTCCCCTGCTTTGGCCAAATGCAAACCACAGCAGCATCACAAGGCTCCGCTTCTACCCAGCCTCCATGATCAGCCTCCTGATCAGGGTATCAGAGGTGTGGAGACATCCAGCCATCGTTTCATGAGAATTACACAGTAGCCCCACTGCATAGCTGCTGACCAGGGGAACCCCAGACATTCCAGGTGCCACTCTGTGGCATTCTGAGACCACCAGACCCACTGAAGGTTCCACCTGCAACCATGTCCAAGTGGCTCCTTGGCGAGGTGTGCCCATAACTCAGCAAGTACAAGTAGGCAGCACATGCTTCGAACCAGGTGCTGAGCTGACTGGTGGGACAGGCCAGCACCCTGGTCACTGAGGGGCAGAGGCTGCTCCTCAGATGACACAGCAAAGACGTCTATCCTTTCTGAGACCAGACATTCTGGCATCTGGGATGCTCACCCATGGTGTGTGGCAATGGTCCTTTTCCTTCATTTGCAAGTTAGTTCAGAAACTTGCTACTGGTTTTTTGTTACTTGTGCCATAGGATGTGAGTATTAATTGAGAGAGGGGAAATGCTCTGAAGAGAAGGTTTACAAATTTCTCTCCCTGGGATTTCCCAGAGCACCTCACCCCCTGGCTACAATCACATTTTTAAAATGCTGTCACTATAAGGTTACTTAGGATGTCATCCCTGCTGAAAACACCGACTGTCCATGCTTGGGGCACTAGGTTGGGGCCAAGAAGGATCTTGCCAAGTCAGACCTGCACTCAGGAGCTTCTGGTGCCATAGGGAGATGAGGCAGGGACACCAACACCTGTGTTGCAGGTGTGCATGCAGAGTACTGTGGCAGCCCAGACAGGAAGCCTCCCACACAGAGGGGGCTGAGGAAGGTTTCAGGGAGGAGGCCACAAAGAGCCAGTGTTACAGGAAAAGTCCCCCATTCCCAGGGCAGGAGAAGACCAGCCAGAGACGTGTGCTTATTGCATGGAAGAGGAATGAGGCCTTAGATTTCCTCTCTATGTTGTAATTACATGATAGCATCACTTGATGCAGTGGTTACTTCACATTTTACAAACACCATCGAAGACTGTCATTGGTCCACTTGTGGGCTCCTGCACCCATCAATCTGGTGCCCAAGCCCCTTGGTGAGGGGAAGTCCGCCCACCCATTCAGAGGCCCAGTAGGGAGGCCCCACCTGTGGGCAGGAATGGCCTGAATGTCCTCCCAGGAGCCCTGCTCTGGGAAATCCCCTGGCCACCATGGTGGCTGTTCCTGTGAATTCAGAGAGGTTCCTCCAGGGCCAGATACAAGCCCTGTGGCTTTCTGATGGACCTGGAGTACCAACTGGTCTTCACCATGCTGGCATCCTGGGTGCTTCCTTCCTCCACCTCTCACCCCCACCCCACTGTGGGTCCATTAGCCCAGACAGTGCAAGGATCTGTTTCACCCCACACATTGCTAGGAGCATGATGTCCCCGGGAGAGGGTGTAGGACAGAAGGTTAAGAAGAATAACTGCAATGATAATAATATAAAATTTGTTGATATTTTCTCCATGGTTCAGGCACATTGCTAAATGCTATCCACTGAATAACTTTTTAAATTCTTCAAACAACCCTATTTGGTCCCTATAATGACCTCATTTTATGAAAGAGAAAACTGAAGATGGACAAATTTAGATAGTTGCTCCAGGTCCCACAGCTAATACAGGCAGACCTTGGAGATACTGTGGATTTGGTTACAAACCATCACATTGCAGTTATATTGTAGGAAAGCCAGTCATAATCGTTTGTTGGTGAAGGATCTTGCCTTCAATCTGTAAAAACACAACATCTTTGAAGCATAGTGAAATGAGGTCTGCTTTGTGTGACAAGAGTTCAGATTTGATTCTAGGCCTGCCTAATTCCAGAGCCCAGGTGCTGAGAAGACAAGTCATTTGCCTTTTATTCAACTTGGGGATGATGGAGAAAGTGAGAGCCCTAAGTCTGTCAGAGGCAGCTGGAGCTGGAGCTGGAAAGCACAGTCCTCCACTCTCGAGGTGAAATGCTACTATAATACTGCTCATACTTATCCCGGTTCTGATGAAAACCAAAGACCCATGAAATTCAGTGTTTAGGTCACATACCAGAAGCTCTGGCCTTGGGCAGTGGGACATTTCAAAGCAAGTCTGCAAGGAGCCCAGAGAAGCCCAGGCAACCATCTGCCCTGCCCTGTTCTAGGAAAGGTCCCTGCCTCCATGTACACACAGTGGGGCTGTTTGTCTAACCCTGCATGTCAGCAAGTACCCACTGGTGTGAGCAGCATGAGGAAATGCCAAAAACCATAGGAGTTTGATGGAAGAGCTGGAAAGATTCCTGCTTCTAAGAGGAGTCTCTCTAGAAGGATCAGGATTAAGAAAGATCCAGACCTTCGGAAGAATGACAAGAGCACAGTTAGAGGCATGGGACCAGTGCGATGGGGGTGGGAAAGGTAACTTGGAACTTAGAGTCCTTGGGAAGGGTTGTGGGCCACACTGAAAGCCTCACAGATGTGAGGGAAGGTCCTCCACTCTGGGGATTGGCCTTTTTTACTGACAGTTTGCCTTGCAGCTGTTCAAGGTTGGGCAGATTCGCACAGGATTTGGGCAGATGGACAAACATTCACAGAGCTCTCAGAATGTTTGACATGCCTTTATTCTGAGGCAAGGGCGATCCATGCATGCACTGCAGGAAGTCCCGATTCCCTTATGTACTAAATACCCACAAAACAGCAGGATGCCAAGAAATTATATAACAGAGTTT